TGTGTGTGTGTGTGTATACTGTCAAATCGGATCTGAATGGTAGAGGAGATTGCTCCTCCTTCTCCAGCATAGCATCTGGTGGATTTGAACTGCATGTCAATGGGATTGTAGTGCAGCTTCTTGCCATTGGGCCACCAGAGCTCCCTAGTATTTGTCCTTTTGTGACTGAGATATTTCACTCGGCATAATGTCTTCCAGGGTCACCTATTTTGAATGACATTGCATGTGTTCCTTGTTTTTCAGTGCTGCTTAATACTCCAGTGTGTGAATATACCACAGCTTTTCTGTCCATTCATTTGTTGATGGGCACTTGGGTTGTTTCCAATTCTTTACTACTGTGAACAAAGCAGCAATAAACATGGGTGTGCATATATCTATTTGGGTGGCAGTTATGGTTTCTTTGGGGTATATTCCCAGTAGTGGAATTGCTGGTTCAAATGGTATTTGTATTTCCAACTTTTTGAGAAAGTGTCATACTGTCTTCCATAGTGGTTGCAAAATTTTACACTCCCACCAACAGTGAATAAGGGTTTCAGTTTTTCCACAACCTCGCCAGCATATGTTGTTTACTGATTTATAGAAATTTTTATCAGTCTATCATTTTTCCAGCTGATTACTTCCTTCTTCCAGAAACTGCTGTCCCTCAGACCCTCATATGATGGGCTTTGCTTGAATGCCATGTTCTTACTGAGGCCATCCCTAGCCTACTTAGGGAGCTCTCGGGGGCCTAGTGTAAGAAGCTGTGCTGTAACCTCAAAGGCAGCTATGTTATGGGAGAAGGATGGGCAATCTCCTCTCATGTGATTAATTGTCTCTGAAAATCTGCTACCACCACCACATTTAATAGTACAGTCCGACACAGTTTTGGCCTCCCTAGATAAATTCTTTTCCATAATCCTAGTGGCAAAGTTCACAGAATTCTGCTGCTAACTCAAAGCCTGTGTCTCTGGTGGTTCAAACAGACTACTGGCTCCACTGGAAAAAGACAGGCATCTCCTGAGATTTATGGCTTCAGAAACCCAATGGAGGGGCACTTTTTGAGTCAGAAGTGAGCATAAACTTTGTCTATTTTTGTTCACTAACACATGCTCAGTAGTGAGACTCATGGCTGGTATAGAGGAAATCATGTAAATAAATCCAAACCTAATGCCACAGAGTGGATTTTAATTCACTAAAACAAAACAGAATTGCCCCAGAGGGTTTGTAGGCCATAATCTTGAAAAGAGTAGATCGGAACAGTCTCTCTCGAAGTAGCCAGTGGATTTGAACTATTGTCCTTTTGGTCAGCAGCCAAATGCTTAAGCACTGCACCTCTAGGGATCCCTGGAGAGGAAGGACTCAATGAATATTTCTTTAATATTTTCATTTATCTTGCTATTAACTAATGGCCCTAAAAATTGTAAATCTATTTTATCAAAGGTGTGGGGCATATTCATAAAAAATATGCACAGAAGCCTACAATACCTATATTATGTAGTTTCTGGAGCTACAGAGGTGAGAAAAAGGTTCCTAATTTCACACCCTAGCAAAGGAGACAGTATTAAAAAAACAAAACAAAACAAAACAAAAAAATCACTATTGAGAGGCAGACAGCAGTAAAAATCAAGCAGGGTCAGGAAAAGGACGACAGGACACTCTGTGACTACAACGCTGCCCCTGCTCAGGGAAAACCACCCTTAGCGTGATGTCCGAGAGTATCTGTGTGGAGTGTACCTGGCAGAAGGCAGGCAAAGTTTTGTTCTCAATGGTAGCGGTCTGTATGGGCACAAACCTGAAGGAAGAGTAATTCGGTATGATCAAAAATTTAAACGTGCATACTCTTTACCTCACCTACAGCTATTTCACTTCCAGGAAATGATGTAGAGAAAACCACACAGCTATACACGTACAAGTGAACGCACAAGAATGCTAACTGCAGCAATTAAAGGGGCAAAACTGGAAAACAGCCAAAATATCGATCCATAACGATTTGATAAATTATAGTGTACACACAGGAAAGTTCACGTAGCTCTTAAAAAGAGTGAGATTTATATACTGACAAATATACCATACCAGGTAGGTGAATAACCATACAGGTAGGTGAATGAAGCAAGTATCATACAATTTCCTCTTTGTAAGAGAAAAACTGAAAATGTAGCTGAACTAGACGCATGGGCTGCACTCAACAAGCACTCATCTCACCTGGTTAACTCCAGTTCTTGCTGATGAATGAAGCAGAAAGCCTTATCTACCCCCTATTTCTATGGTACTTGAATTTTTTACACGGAGTTTTTGGTATTAATAATACTTTTGGGGAGCTCTGGTGGCCTAGTGGCAAGAAACTGCACTGCAATCCCAGAGGAACACGGTTCGAATCCACCAGACGCTCTGCCGGAGAAGGAGGCGCAATATCCTCCTGTACCAGTCAGATCTGATTTGACGGTACACGTACACAAAATTAAAAAAAAAAAACAAAAAAAAACAAACTTTTAAAAAATCATAAATTACCTCTTCTGGCAAAGCAGAATGGGGCTTGTCTGAAGTTGCAAGCAGTAAAACTGGAGCAAATGAAGGAATATTCTGTAATAATGTGGTAAACGTGGCTTTGACTGTGGTGCCAACAATTTCCCACCACAAGTGAATATGTGGGACATACACTATACTTGGTGCTGTTCTCTTGGCTTCACGAATCACCTAATATGGGGGAAAAAAAGCACATTACTGAGGCTCGATCAATAACCTCTAGAACAACGCTTCAATTCCTCAAATTACCATATAAAACCCTTAAGTTTCTAAAATGCTTTCTATAAAAACTCACTATGCTGTTTTAATATTTTTTTTCTCTTTAAAAGATTGTAAAGTTTTAGGAAAACGTATGCTTGCTTCAAGTAATTAGTAAACAAGAAAGGAAATGCAGCACTGAGGCCAAGAAAAGCAGGGATGGCTAATGTACACACTGTACAGTTTTCCAAAGCTCGTGGCAAATGAAAGCCTGCCCAAAGGCTGGTGGCACCCAGTCCATTAAGCGTGGGCTCATAATCAAACAGTCAGCAGTTCATACCCACCAGCTACTCTGTGGGAGAAGGATGATGAAGCCTGTCGTCATGAATTACTAAACTGCTCAGGAAATCTAGCTGGCTTTTGTTGTGACAAATTTTAAAAATATAAATATGAAATATACTTCTATATATTAAATAGAAAAAAAAAACCCAAAAAGCAGCAGCAGCTACAGAGTATTTATCAACTAGCAATTATGGTTATACCTGATTCATTTTTCCCTCACAGAGTCTGAGGTTAAGCTCTAAGATCATTTCTATTTTGCAAATGAAGAAAACAAGGTAGAAAAATTTAACCGCTTTATCAAGGTCACATACTAAGTGGTAGAACTAGGACTCGAATATCCACTCTTCAATGACTAAATTATGCACAGCTTGCTTCATAGATCCAAAGAAAAAAAATGAGAGGAGAAATAAAGAATGAAAACATTAGTGATTTTTGTCTATGTGTACCTCTTTTACCTTTCAAACAGCTCATTCATCTGGGTGACAATGAATTACCTGGGCACATGTTTCCTCAGGAGATGTAGCACTGACTCCAAAGAGAACAGGGATGTCTAATGTATACACGGTAAATTTTTCCAAAGCACGGATGACAGCTGGTGCCAAGTGAGAGCCCTGCCCAAAGCCTGGTTCTCCTACTATCAACATTCTTGGTCGAAAAGACATCGGTTGGTGACAAGCATTTCTGAAAGAATAACCAAAGTTTTAATTCCCCACCATCCCATCATTAACCAAGAACTCTCCTAAGTTCTGGTGGCCTAGTGGTGGGAGTTACGCTGCCAATCCAAAGGCAGGTGTATTCAAATCCACTAGTTTCCACAGGAAAAAGACAGGAAATCTTCCCCATGCAATTTATAGCCTGCTGGGGGGTACAGCTATGAGTCAGCTCCAACTTGATGGCCCATCAACATCTTCATCTCTTTGATTTTTAGGAATATGCTATGTAGTAGTTTCTACTACAGTGAAAAGAGCATACAAAAAAATTTGGAGATTTTTAACAAAACGAAAAAAGAGCCACGTAGTTGACATCAAAAAATTTACCTTTTCAATCACTGACTCATTTTAAGGAATTTATATATATATACACACATACATACAGAACAATATCAAGTAAAATTTACCTATTCAAACGAAGAAAACTTAAATGTTCTTTTGTCTTATTAAAGGATTTCTGAGAAAGTCCACTTTCATATACTGATGGAACATCATCATCACTATATGCAAGGTCACTTTCTAGCAGTGGACAAGAAATATCTGAAACACAAAAAATTCATCCATTAGCAATTTTTCTAGGGTTCAAAGCCAATGTTTACATTTCAGTTAATCAATATACTTCACAGAATTAAAAAAAAAATACACCAAAAACCACACCCAAAAATATGTGCATAGATATGAATAATTTACTTGTTCTTATATTTTTATATTATATAGAAATATATAGCAACTTGAAATAGGTTAAGCAATTAAATGGATTTTCTAAAAAAATTCAGGTGAAATGTATTTCCTTAGAGCCTAAAGGCACTGAATTACCCGAGTCCAGGGACTTATTTGTCCCAATCTCTGCATGTGGGAAGACTTTCTGCAGCGCCTCCAAGATCTTGTGCACTGTGCCTTGCAGGAGTGGCTTTACAATGACAGACAGGGCCTGCCCGGGTGATGTCACGGCTCTTTGGGAGGCTGGGATCATTTTCTGCATGGCAACTTCAAAGTCCTTGGCGGAGATATTAATCGAGGAGAGATTCAACTGTAGTTTCTCACTAGTGGTATAGATCTGTGGGTAGCGTCGACGGAGAGCACATAAAGCCGCTTCAGCACATATGGATTTAATATCTGCACCACAGTATCCTATTCAAAGCAAGCAAAACACAAAACAAACAAAAACTATTAGCATGACCGTGGCTAAAGATTAAAGAGCTAATATAGTAGCAAAATAATTAAGAATAATACAACAAAAACCTTTCATTTACTCAGTGAACTGACATGGTAGTAATAAACCACTACTGAGTCAATTCTAGCTCAAAGCAACCCTATAGGACAGAATAGAACAGAACTGGTCCAAAGGGCTTCCAGGGCCATAGGACAGCCAGCCACATTTTTCTCCCTTGGACATCAAACTTTTTGGTTAGCAGCCAAGTGATTTAATAACAGTACCACCAGGGCTACTTATGGTAATAATAATCACCAACAGATCAACCAGTTTTTGTGAATTAAAGGTACAAACACCAAATACAGAGTAGGGGCCAAGAAAAATTGGAGAGACTAGGTTCAAATTTCAGGGAGCTCTGGTGGCCTTGTGGTAAGGAGCTGTGCTGTAATCCTGGAGGCATGCAATTCAAATCAACCAGCTGCCCCACAGGACAAAGATGTGCAATCTCCCTCGACCCTCATGCCTCTCTCTCCCCTCCTGAAATGACTTGCCTCTGAAAACCCACTAGATGATCAGCTATGGGTCGAATTCTGACTTGATGGTACACAGTAACAAAAGGTTCAAATTCCAGTTTGTCATTCATAATTTATGTGATCTTGGGAAGAAATCACATATGCTTTCCCAACCCATTTTTTGATCTGCAACATGGGCACCTACTTCACAGTTCTGATGAGAGAACTGAATGAGGTATGCAGGGTACTTGGCAGGATAACTAGAAAGAAATATTTAATACTCAGCAAAGAGTATTATTATTGTGCACTTCGATTCTCTCAACATTCTCTGACAGCCAATTTGCTAAATAATCTCTACTTAACATATAGAACTTTATGAAAATAAAAATGGGTCACAAGAGCTGAGAAGCAAATATGATCTTGTATTTCTTTAAATATATCTTTGCAAAACTATAAATTGTATTATTTGTGAGGACTATAATATTTCTTTTAACTGCTTAAAACAATGTTTACCAACACAGTTCTCTGCTAGCTCCTCTAGAAATCTGTCCAGTGGCTTAGGATTCCAATCTCTTGTGTGAATTTTTAGAATTTCTTTCCGAGCCTGCAAATAAAAATAATTGGATGTTTTAAGTCTATAAAAAGAAACTGCTATTTAAAATGAGAAAAATTTTAATTTAAAATACTTTATCTGAAATTTTAGCCTGCTATTCTTCAAAGAAATGAATACCTAATATTAGGCAGAAATATTTAAAGAAGAAACATAGTGAAAATGAGAAAAAAGATAAGAATTTGGACAACTCAGTTTTATTGTTAAACTGATTTGCACTAATTGTGCCTAAGTCCACTCATCAAAACATGAACGACAACAATGAACCTTTGAACTATCATTATTTTAATGCCTTTATGAGCTGTTTTTCAGAAGGACAGTGCTTTTGTGGTTTCCTTGTTTGGTTCAAAAAAAATCAAGGAGCTTTATTAAATTATTAAAGTAGAATTATTAGGTGATGTCCATGAACAAGAATCATCAACTCACTCTTGCTGTCTCGCTCCCAAAAAGGTTTTGGGATGCACAAGATGAGGTGGCTGGCATTTGTTCTCTTTATTGTTGCCCAAGCTGAGGAAGGGGCCAGACATTTGGCCTCTACATCACAGCTGAAGAGACATACCTTACAGGGTGAGACTTGACCTTACAGTACATTACTTTGGCATTGTCTCTGGACTGCTCAATGGCCAATGGAACTGGATTATACCTGCTAGCAATGTCTCCCACATTGTGGTCCTACATCCTCTCAAGGCTGGCTGCTTCAACTTCACCTCAGCAACCAATACAGACCTGGCCCAGGAAGGTTGGCCTGTTGTGACTGGCTTTACCAGTGCACCTGGACAGGGAGGAATTCTAACACAGTTTGACAGATCCCCCCCCCCCGCCCCCATTTTCTGGGCTGGGTAGCCTTTAGGGTCATGACTTTTCCCCTCCAATCGCATTCCTCTGCTGCTGTGGTACTTAAGCAAGAGGAAATAGGACACTCCCAAACCTGAGAAGAACTGAATGAGGTTTCCGCAGTTCACTCCTAGTAAATCCAGGTGCCTTCCAGATTCCACAGGGATAGAATTTCTTCAAATGCAGTTTCTTTTCCCTTTGCTTTTGGGCACCTTCTCCTGGATCTTGCTCTGCTCCCAACTAGAGTGAAGGAACAGGCCTAGGAGTCTGAGAGCCTTCTCTGTTCCATCCTTAAGCCATATAAACAGCAACATCCTGAGCCTACAATGGGCTCCAGTGCCCCACTGAAGGGCTGGTGGGTGTACTGCTGGCAATATGAACTTTCGGGGGTCCAGGAAGATATACTTCAGAAACTGCTTAATCCCACCTCCCTCCCCTCTCAAGAGAGTGTGGAAGATGAAAGAGAAGCTGTGGGGCTCTTAGAGCCTGATCTGTTCTCAATTAGGGCAGTGCTTCCTAAATAAATTTTCTAATAAAATGAAAAGCAAATGTAAAAAGAAAAGAAAAACTGCCCAAAGATTGGTAGTTAATTAGGCTACGTGTTCTTAAGCAAAATAAAATTTTATAATTAACACTATTCTAAAGATTGTGCTAAAATTTAAAGAACTTAAAAGAAAAATTTTACGTGGTTCGATTCCACCAGATGCTCTGCTGGAGAAGGAGGGGCAATCTCCTCCTGTACCAATCAGATCCGATTTGATGGTACATACACACAAATAATAAAATATATATATATAAAAAAAAGAATTTTAGGGGACATAATGTTAAAACAAAATTTTTAAAAAGAACAAAGTATGTACTTGAGTTAATCTGTAGCATCTATGAGATCATAATACACAATTCAATAATCTTCAATTAATGTTCAAAGCTAACATATTCTGTCAAAATTTGATACAATTTAAATTTTTACCTCTTTATCAGGTAGACTAAAAAGGAATTCTCGGTCAAAGCGGCCAGGCCTCCGTAGAGCAGGATCTATGGAATCCAGTCTGTTGGTAGCACCGATGACAACAATTTCTCCTCTGCTATCCAACCCATCCATAAGGGCGAGCAGTGTGGAAACAATAGAACTAAATTTAAAAAGAGAGAGATTAATTCTACAATCAATAAATAAATCAGTAACATTTAATCTTTTGATTTTATTAAAAATCTTCCCCATGACATCTCATTATTTTCAGTAAGTAAAACTCCTGTAACCAAGAATTTTAAACTGTTTAGAATATCTCACAAACCAGAACTGATTCACTTGTTTCCTTTTTGTGCTACAGTAAAATCTATAGGGGCAAGAAACTTACAAATGGAAAACAAAAATCAATGACAGAAAATATGGTTAGACTGTACCTTGTCAAAAGTGGGAAACTTGGAAGACTCACAAGAACTAGGGAGTCCTGGGTCTCCCAGGTTTCACAGTAACAATGAGATTCTATAACCAAAGACCACTGTGATTCAACAGGACAGAGTGCAACTGTCCCCCAAGTTCCAAGGCCGTAGGTCATTAAAGAAGCAGACTGCCACGTCTCTCTTTCACAGCATAGCTGGTAGATTTGAACTGCTGATCTTTCGGTAAGCAGCTGAATGTTTAACTATTGAGCAACAAGAGCTCTTTTGAGTCAAAATTGAGGAGATGGCAATGGGTGTGGGTATTACTAACGAAAACCACTGGTTTATACAGTTTCTTCTTCTCATGTACCACCAAATACAGCTTAGAATCTAGAAGAAAGGCAGGGGTCCCAACCAGCCAGTTTTACCTGTGAATTTGATCTTGCCTGCTAGATCGTACTGGAGCCAGACCATCAATCTCATCAAAGAATATTATGGATGGGCGCATCTGGTAAGCCTAGAAAATAGGCCTATGTTACCATAAAAGGACTCAGATATTAAATTTACAAAAGCCATTTTCATGTAAACCTGCTTATCAGATTATAATTTATAAATTTAACAATGTTCAAGGATATACGCTAATTATAACATCATAAACTAAAAAATACCCTCACTGTCATCCAGTTGGAGCCAACTTAGAGCAGAACTTGCAGAGGGTTTTCTGAGATTGTAAATCATACAGGAGGAGACTGCCCACCTTTCTCCCAGGGACATTTCTGTAACTACACACAGTTTCATTATATTTGCATTTTCTGTTGGAGGTATTTTGTTAACCTAAGTTATTACACTTTAGGTTTCATATTGCTACAGCTATAGATACGGTGCTCTAGCGGCACCGTCCACAGTGTTGGAAGCTAATCTGAAGGAGGTGCCTCTCTGGCACTTTAACCAGCGGCTCCAAGTGCCATTTTCAGCCTCAGAAACACTGAGATTTAAGACAATGTACTGCTACCGCCTCTCTTAAAGACTACCAATCTCTTCCCTTGGTATAAGACTTAAGACATCAAAAAACTTAAATGCCATTGTCCTTTGGTATCTAAAGGGTGTTGATTCCAAGATCCCCTCCCTAACTTTCCAAAATCTGCAAATATTCAAGCCCTATAAAAAAAGATCACATCTGTATATTTTAAATAAACCCTACATTACTTATAATATCTAATACAGTGTAAACAGCACTGTATATTCCCTTTAAGAAATTTCTTTGAACACGTAATTGCTTCCCTTCCCTTTCCCTGAGGCTGGGAGAACTCATGAATAGGGAGCCTTCAACAGGATTTCTTTTGTGTTTTCCTATAAAGCCATTGTAGGTCAATCTTATTTCGATAAATAATCTACAAAGATGTATATTCTTTTGAATCATGATATTCAAGCTTTACCTATTTAATCCTAAAACACATTGGTTACTGAACTTTTTGTACAAATACATTTTGCTACCATACCTGGTCGAACAGCAACCGCAGCTGTCTTTCCGACTCCCCAACCCATTTACTCAAGCAGTCAGCACCTTTCCTCATGAAAAATGCTGCTCTTTTATTCCCTTGACTGCACTCATTGGCCAGTGCTCTAGCCACCAGAGTCTTTCCAGTTCCAGGAGGACCATAAAACAAGCAGCCTCTGTAAGTAAAGGATTACACAGTATTTAATGCTACAGTTTAAACATAAATCAAATGTTATCCTTTCTACAAAGATGGCACTCAAAAGAGACCGAAGCCCCTCCCCTCCCAAAACTGAAGCCAAAGCAAAGGCATTAAAGGCCAAGGAGGCATCCTAAAAAGCTTCCACAGCCACAAGAAAAAGAAAGGAAGAAGATGCGCACGTCACCCACCTTCCGGTGGCCTAAGACGCTGAAACCCCTGAGGCAGCCCAAATACCCCCAGAAGAGTGCCCCCCAGGAGAAACAAGCTTGACCACTATGCCATCAAGTTTCCCCTGACCACTGAGTCAGCCATGAAGAAGATAGAAGATAACACACTTGTGTTAATCGTGGATGTCAAGGACAACAAGCACCAAATCAAACAAGCTGTAAAGAAGCTCTGTGACATTGATGTGGCCAAGGTCAACACCTTGATTAGGACAGACAGAGAAGAAGTCCTATGTTCGACTTGCTCCTGACTATGATGATTTGGATGTTGCCAACAAAATTGCGATATCTAAACTGAGTCCAGCTGGCTAATTAAAAATACAAATTTTTCTCACCCCCTCCCAAAAAACCAAAGTTATTAGCCAGATGATAGTGAAAAGAAAATAAAACAAATGTAGTACGGCTTCAATCCATAAAACATACATTAAACCAGGAATTAATAGTGACGTTTTAAATAAGCCTTTTTATTTCAAATAGGTTATCTTTTATTCACCATCATATCATCCTTGCTCAGACACCATGCTTGAAAACACCTGATGGTTCACATTTATATTGGACATCAAGGAAAATACAGCTGATTTCATTCAGAATCCTACTGTCTGTGGTGTAGTGAGTCTACTGTTTAAAATAACTTTCTAAGCTACCGCCCTTGACTTTGCTAACAAGGTTAGGTGGGAACATACAAATAGGATGTGTGAGTCCATCCACAAGGAGATTGGTTAATTTCACCATTATACCAGGTTTAAATCAAGCAGGTTCAGCAGCAGAAATCTGTGGGATCTAATCCCAGCAAAAAAAGAAGCAGCAGAGAATACATCAAACATCCTTTCGAGTCAAAGATTCCTAATCCATTCAGATTAAAACCTACAAGAAACCAGCAACAGCCTCAGCAGAGCACCAGAGACCAACAGTGAGACAGAACTCACCTTGGGACTTGAGGGTGGCAGGGGGGAAAGACACCATAACTGGCAGGTCTAAGAGAGCTTTGCAACACTGGCCTAACTAAGGTCACAGGCTGAAGGGCCTGCAAGAACACTTTCAAAGCTGTTCTGACTGAGAAACTGTATCTTGTCGCCAACATGAACTGTAACCTGTTAATATCCCTAATAAGCCCCATAATCAGTAAGTATGCTTCTGTGAGGTCTGTGCAGCTACTGCAACAGATTTTGGACCCAGAACAGTTAGCTTGAGACAGAATTAGAGCAATAAGCAAGGGAGCACAGGGAACATGTCTGACCTCATGGGCACTGGTCAGGCTTGGCCGTCCTCATGCTACTCATGTGTTTAACACTGTCAAGATCAGTTAATTTAAAACAAAACAAAACAAAACAAAAAACAAGTCAGGAATGAATAGGAGAGAGGAAAAAGAATTCCTTAAGACATATATATGTGTGTGTGTGTACTCTATGTTATTATGTGCTATCAAGTCATAGCCAACTCAGCTGACCCTCCAACAGTTTTTTAGAGACAATAAAATAATCAGGCAGAGACTGCCCAACGTTTTCCCTATGGAACAGCAGCATAACTCTTTACCATTAGACCACCAGAGCTCCCAAATAGTTATCATTTAAGGAGTTGCTCTAAATGGTGCCAACTACAGATGTGGATAATATGGTGGTGAAGGACATTTTGGAAGAGAAAGGCTTCCAATCTCCCTTATTTCAAGCAGACAAAGCCTAAATACTAGGCCAGTTGTGACATCCTATCCTTTCCCTTCTTTCATACCTACAGAACCCCCACACCTGTTCAGACAAATGACTGAAATAAGATAGTTATCTCAATGTACAAAAGCCAAGGTAAAGAATTTTATAATGTCCCTGAACCTGCAATTCTATTTGCAAGACTGTACCTTGAAGAAAGTAAAGATTTACAAAGAAACGATGGAAATAGTAATGATGTTTGAGATAATGAAAAGTTACGATAAAACAACATGGTAATAGCAGAATCAGTTAACTATAAAGTGGTACGTCCACACAATAGGACACACAATTCTTCACTCACTAAGAAAGAAAACAGATTATGTGCTACATGTGACCTTACTAAGAACAACTCCACCGAAGACGCTGACGCTGAACTGATAAGAAGGGCACATAAAACTAAACAAAACAGGGAAATATTAAAGCTGCAAGGGAACAGGAGAGTTGTAAAAGAAAGAAAATGTTGTTGTTGTTATGTGCCGTCGAGTCGCCTGCGACTCATAGCGAACCTATGTAGTTATAGCATATTATCCCTGGTTCAGCTGTAAGCAAAATTTATATAGTCAAAAGGTAAACATCAAAGGAACAAACACGTCTGTCTTGAAGAAAGGGCAACCAGACAACTCCTTAGAAGCAAAGCTGGTGAAACTTTGTCTCACATATCTTGGACATGCTGTCAGGAGGGGTCAGTCCTTAGAAAAAGACATCGTGCCGGAAAAGTTGTGCATCAAAGAAAGAAAGGAAGACCTTGAACAAGATGGACTGACATAGTGATTGTAATAGACTTGAGCATGTCAGAGATCATGAGAATGGCACAGGACAGGGTGAGGTGCAGGTCAGTTGCTCACAGGATTATTACGAGTCTTTTTTAACAACACAAGGAAATCACTGAAAATGCCTTTTTTAAAAAAGAAAACAAAAAATGCCAGAGTATTTTCTAAACTGTGATTTGAGTGTGGGTTTAAAAGATAATTTTCATTCACTCATTCCTACATATTTTGTTCAGTAACATTAATTTCAATATCCACAATGTGACCACACTTTCCCCACCTCTCTGTAACCCTGATTTTCATTAGTGCTCCTATCACTCCGGATTTCTCCTTCTAAAGCGATATTGTGCCCAACTTCCCACTGTTGGGTCTTGCCTTTCCCTTCACCCATCTTCCTAGGTGCCTGTTACTCTCTTTACTACTCATTCCATTTCCCTTCTTTTTATCTCTAACCATCCAAACGGCTCAGGCTGTTTTTTTATAGGGTCGCTGTGAGTCGTCTACGACTCGATGGCATCAAACAACAATAACAATGACGACGACCAAGAGAGAGCTACGTTGGCCTAGTGGAAGGAAGCTGTGCTACCAAGCTGAAGGTGGGTGATTTTCCTCTGTGGCCCTCGGCCAGGTTCAAATTGTCTTCCTGTCAAACATTCTTCGAGGTGGTATAGCACTGGTCTGTGCGTTGCTGTACAGAGGAAACTCGTGGTTGCTGTGATGCTGAAGATTGACAGTGATGTGCCAATCGTGGTAATGGGCACCCATGGTGGACAGTGTTGGCTGGAGCTCCCCGACTAAATCAAGCCTGGAAGCAGAAGCGGCATCCAATTCCAAAATGGCTTGCCTCCGGAAACTCTACGTACGAACAGTGCTCAGGCTGTTCGTTCATAGGGTCGCTATGAGTCGTCTACGACTCGACAGCATCAAACAACAACATCCAAAAGGGCTTCTACCTCTGTGTAAACCTGTCCTGGCTTGAACAGTGACTTAACAGTGAACAATTTTATCACTATCAGATTTTTATGAGGGAAGAATGTGCATAGGTAGGGAAAAGGCAGGGAAAGTAAAAAGAGGCCAGTCACTGTTCACAGAAGTATACTGATTAACAACTACCAAAACAAGTGAAAAATGAAGTAAAAGGATAAGCCCAATACTTGGACATGTACTGACAATTTTCTAACAGCTAAAGAAGTTGCTATGGGCATGCCATTAGGAGGAACAATCACTAGAAAAGAATTCTGTTCTTGGGTCGGCAAAAAAGAAGACCCTCAAAGAGATGCCTGGCACTGCGGTCACAATGTGCAGAGACTGTGGGATGCAGGATCGAGCAGTGTTTTAATCACTTTAAGTCAGTGCTGACTTGACAACAAGGGTGTGGAGAACGGCCTCTGGGAAGCAGAAATCGGGAACAGGGGATGGTAGAGGAGGGAAAACTATCCTCTTTTTTTAATGAAGACTTAAGTTACTGTCTTTTTATACTGCATACTCATCAAATTGATTTAATATAAACCCAAATTCCAAGAAGAGTGTGATGAATGTTATTTTATGAAATGAACGGTTTTTTAAAAAACTTTTTTTTTTTAAATGACAACAATCTGAAACAAGGGGTGCACTGCAGGGTAGGCTGAGAGGGACAGAAAATAGGAGTAATTTTTATAAAAAACGTAGAAAAACCCATTTTTCATGTTAAGTATTATAAAAGTAAAAACTGACAAAGCACCCAAAATCTTGCAGAAGTATAAATTCACCAAAAATTTCACCAGAGAAGCATTCTCTTTTGACATAAAGGTAGAACAACATGGATTCTAGTTAAAATTAAAAGTACCTTGGAGGTTGAATTTTGAACTTTTCAAAGACTTCAGGATAAAGTAATGGAAAAACCACCATCTCTTTTAGAGCTGCAATATGATTCGACAGGCCACCAACACTATCAAACCGCACCTGGGAAATGAAGGAACACATTAACAATCTTAGATGTGACTCCAACTAAACCGAACCCAAATACAATCAACTGAGTAACAGTAACTAACTCAGGAAAAACAGTCTTGTAAAGGTTAAACTTTCTGATTAAAAAGTAAACAAAGGGGGAAAAAACCCAAAACCCTAAACACAACCTTCTGCAACTGGCTTTCTTTTAATTATAAAATCAAAGAAAACAAATTAACTCTATTATAGTTCAAGTATGTATTTCAAAACCCAGTACTCACTGAAGAATCTAGTTGCATTGGATCAACATCAGCAAGGCTTGCACCAATTTTCATTCGGTCTTTATAAATTCCTTTTAATTCATCTTTACGAAAATTGAGTGGGAGGCACCTAAGAAAAAAGATCTTTGTAAAAAACCACCTATTCACCCCTACTCCTCCCTCCCCTCAATCTCCATGGTATGCTATGAACATTTTTCTTACGAATTAAAATTGTATCATTACTTTTCCAACTACTTTCAAATCAGTAGGGTAATATATCTACAAGAATTTCCTAGACTGGAAGCAAAAATCAAGTATGTGTGAAGCTAGGAAGTCTAAGAATCATGACTGCAACAGAACACGGTAAGAGCACACCATGTTAACCATAAAGGACGATTCCTGACAGGCCCAAACTCCAAGAGAAGTTTATAAAGTGAACAAGTTTGTAATTTAAAAAAAAAATGTGTATTTCTCAAGCAACTCTTTAGAAAAGTATAATGTAACATCTGTAGGATTAATTTCTTTTAACTTACATGATTGAACCCCCAATCCAAGCCACTGCCTTTTATTTAATTCTGACTCATAGCAACAGTTATGCAAGGAGCCTGTCACAGCTATCTCCACAGAGTGGCCGGTGGGTCTCAACTTCTAACATTTTAGTAAGCAGCCAGGAGCTTAACAACTGCTTCACCAAGGCTCAAAAAACTATGTATTAAAAAAAACCACAAAACCAAAACAATAATCTAATCCACTGCTATCCAACAGAAAAAAAGACGCAAGCCACAAATTTTAGTTTACTTGGCTCCAGTCAACACTCTTGGTAACAGCAGCCAGGAAATCAGGAGACGAAGTGCATTGGGAAAGTCAGCTCTGAGGGACCACTCAAGAGTACTGAAGTGCAATGACGTCAGGCTGGAGACTAAGGTGCGCCTGATCCAGGCTATAGTCTTTGCAATTACGTGTTATGCATCGGAGAGTTGGACAGTGAATAGGGATGATAGAAAGAGAATTGATGCTTTTGAGTTGTGGTGCTGGAGAAGAGTGTTAAATATACCATGGACTGCTAGGAAAGCAAACAGGTTCATCCTGGTGAGGGTGAAGGCGGAATGCTCCTTGGAGTCAAGGATTCTGAAGCTTTGTCTGACATACTTTGGGCATGTTGCAAGGAGGGATCTATCCTTGGAGAGGGACATCATGTTTGGGAGAGTGGAGGGACGGCGCAGGAGAGGAAGACCCTCGATGAGATGGATCGATTCTGTGAGTGGAGTGGTGGGAATGAATGTGTTCAAGACAGCGAGGTTGGCACAGGATAGAACGGCGTTTAGGGCTCTTATACATAGGGTCGCTATGAGTCGCAAACGACTCAATGGCACATAATAACAACAACTAGCTATATTAAAAAAGGAAATAAAGTTTTAGTAATTTATATATCTAAAAAATTCTCTTCAACATCCAATTAATATTTTTAAATTCAGATATTTTATGTTTTTTTTTTATAGTAGGTCTTTGAAACACAGGTGTATTATTTTGCACTTAGTTTATCTCAATTCAGATCAGCACACTTCTAAGAGTTCAAAGGCCACCCGTGGATAACAGTTGCTGCTAAATAAAGGGCAGCTCTAACATGATACAAGGATCGGGTTTAGGGTACTAAAATGGTTTGTTTACATGCCCCTTGAACTAGTCTTTTCCAGCTGCTTCTTCAAGGATTATGTTGTACACTTCTGTCAAGTTGATTCCCACTCAGTGACCCTCTACTGGGTCCCTGAAGTAAATCTACAGGAAGAAGACTGCTCGTTTTACTCCCATGGAGTGCTACAACAACTCAACTTTGTTAGCAGCTGGCTAAATTAAGAATTAAATGAACAGAGATCAGTATATTTTATTGACAGAACCCACCCATTATCTGTAAAATAAGAATCCTTGCCTAATCGATTTCTGGTGGCCAGGTGGTAAGGACTGTTCTGCAAGAGAAGGACAGGCAATTTCCTCCTGTGCAGTGAACTGTCTCCAAAAACCCACTAGGGGGTAAGCTATGACTATGGTGCACAGTAACAATTTATTGTTAGGTGCAATTGAGTCAGAATCCGCACATAGTTGACCTCTAGTGGACTTTCAAGAGGCTGTAAATCACACAGGATGAGGTTTCCCATCTTCTTCATGTAGAGCAGCTGGTAGGTTCAAACCACATGTCATTGGGTTGGCAGTGCAACTCTTTACCACTAAGCCACCAGACCTCGCTGGTGCTCTGCAGAGGCAAGGATAATGGAACTTTGTCTCATATGCTTTGGACATGCTGTTAGAAAGGGCCAGTACTTGATAAAAAGCATGATTGGGAAGGTGGAAGATCAGCAAAAGAGAGAAAGATCTTGAGCAAAGGCTAGGGCAGGATTCAGAGCCATTGTTCACAGGACTATGAGTTGTAGTTGGCTCGACAGCATCTAACAGTAGTAATTATCTATCTATATTATTGCTGAGAAAACTCTCATTAATCTGTGTGGATTTAACACTAAGAAATACATAGTTAGAAAACTGTGCACTGCTTAATTTTCCTCAAGAGTTCTGTAATTTATTTTATAAAATTTTACATAATTATAATTTTATAAAATTGTGCACTCAATTTTCCTTAAGAGTTCTGCAATATTCTTATATCTAAAAGAAAAAAAAATTTAAAAACCAAACCAATTTTATTTTCTCAAATCAAATAGCATTCTGAGTTCTGTAATGGTTTCCCAAGAAAAAGTAACCAGATTTTAACCTTTTATCAGTTTTGAGATATTTCTACCAGGATGACACTGCAAATTATACACTAGACTGTTAATGTAATTTCTTAATTGCCACATTGCACACATTCCCATATGAGCAAATTTTTCACCATTTAAAAAAACAAAACAGAACAAAGACCAGTATTAGTTTAAAAAAGCAGCAAAAGGACACTTACCTGCTTATTGCTCTGTTACGGTTCCTTTTCCTTCGCCTCTCAAATTGTTGTTCATCTTCAGAAGAGGAAGATGAGGTGGAATCACTACTGTGGATTGCATGTCTTCGTCTGAAGGAAGAAAATTGAAGTAATGATGAGAGAGGATGGAAGAAGAAAGGGTCACACACAAGCACCAACATCAGAAAAACTCAATGATCAAAACCAGAACACATTTGCTGAATTACTGAATAAATTTTTTTTTGGTTCAGTCTTGGAAAGAGAACAAAGATCTGGATAACTGAAAGAAGCAGATTAAAGATATTGGAAGCTACTATACTGTCGGGCCGAATGTCAACTTTTCATCAAGACAGGATCTAGGCTAGGGAGAGTGACTTCTAGTCTTAAGACATATCAATTAAGTCCAAAGGGACTAATGAGAAAAAGAAGGTATTAGTAGAACTTGAAAATATGTCTTCAATATGGTATCATTTATAATTTTAATTTATGGAGAAAATAATTTTTTTATCACTTAAGCTAAAAATATCCTTAAAAAGAAGACATGAAATGTTGATGTAAACTACAAGGGATAAGGAGGGATTTAAAATACTGGGAAAGCAGGGAGGCATCTCTAGTGTATTATCAACTGTAAATTCCTAATTCTGTCACTTCAGCAGCTGTGGAAATGTAAATGAGTCCCCCAGATTAGCCTCCATTTCCTCTCACAAAATGGGATAAAGAGATTATCAAATTCTGAGGCTGGTTGCAGAAGTAAGTCAACTGCTAAATGTTACACTACAAAAGTTTAAATTTCTTTGGGCGGTGAAGTATGGTTAGGAAAACCTTTAATCATTCTATTGGCTCAGGGTCCAGAGCTTTTCCTGAGCCAGACAGCAATCATGGTAAGTAGGTGTTTCCAAAAATATAAAAGGTTTACAATCCATTATGTGCTTAATGTAGGTCTAGAATCCTTTATCTTAAAATCTCTAGGAGGGAAAGTGTTTCCATCACAATTCATTTAGTAGCAAAACAAACAATGAAATGGTAAGAAGCCATTTATACTGACTATCCCATTATGATTATTCACGTTTTCCAAAAGAATTTTTGGCATGTTTGACTATGTGCCCCATACAACATCGAAGATATTACTATCTATTACTTACTCAGTAAGCTATCACTGTTAAATGAGCCATAGTGACAAAGTATTAATACGGTGGGCTGCTAACTGCATGGTTAGCAAATCTACCAGCCACTCTATGGGAGAAAAATGGACAAACTCCTCCCATAAAGATTTACAGCCTCAGAAATCTGGTAGAGGGAGGGACACCGTGAGTTAGAATCAATTAGATGGGAAAATCTAATTGCTAATCCTGAAAAAAAAAACACACAAAAAAACCCCAACAACCCAAAACCCTTTAATTCTGAAACACAGATGGTTCTGAAACAAGAGGATTGGATACCAAATTGTAGAAACAGAAATCAATGAGTAAATAATCTTCCACTTACCCACCTATCCCAAACTAGTTATGATCAGCTTAAGTCTAAAATATCTAACACAAGTCTGTAATTTTACATGAAAAAATATTTAACATTACAAGGCTTAAACTTCTCATAATACACAAGACTAGCCCTACAATTAATAAAAAGTACAGGGCACTCTATATCTGATAATCCTAATTAAAACTCTACACAAATACCTGTTGGTAGGCTAACTATACAGTCAACAATCAGAACACGTCATTGATTTGCTTAACTATTAAAGTCTCTTGTCTAATCTGTTGTACTCCTATTCTACTCCAACAATCTATACTTTATACACTACTATACTGGTAATCTTTTTATTTCACAAACCAGTGAAGTTACATAAGCAAGCTATCATAGTCTGCTGAACTGACATTTCATTTCAAAAGTTTGACTTGCAAAGAATTTAAAAAAAAATCAAAGTATAGTTAAGCACAAAAATCAAACCTGTTGAGTGTGAGTCAACGCCAGTTCTGTGACGTGTACAGGACACTGCAGAAGTGTCTCATGAGGCTCCTAAGGATGCTAATGCTACCTTTATGGAAGCACACTGCTACATCACTCAATGGTGGTGGACTGTTGATTGGAGGTAATAACTAAAGAGTACACTGAAGGAACTGTTCTAAAGTTTATAGTGGTGATGGCTTTACAACTCTGAACATATGAAAAGCTATTAAATTGCTTATTTTAAACATGTACACTGTGTACTGCTGTTAGGTGTTGTCAAGTCAGAACCAATTCATAACTGACCCTCTAGTGGGTTTCAGAGACAGTAAATTACAAGACAGGAGACTGTCCATCTTATTCTCAGAAAGAAATTATTTGGTGGATTCAAACTGTGTTTCTTTGGGTTGGCAGCATAACCCCTTACCACTAAGCCACCAAAGCTTGTAGTCTGTTAACTGTAGAGTATGTGGATTACATTTCATAAAGGTTCTGTTAACACAACACAAAAAAAAAGTTTAAAGGATGTCAAAACTAATACCAAAGGAAGCTAGTAGATCAAATGACGTGGCTCAGGAGACAGCATAAATATCTTAGATTTCAATTTAAATTAGAATCTTTCATTGGTCTCTGAAATCCCCAGACTCTGGTTTATAGCACTTGGCCCACAGTAGGAGTTGAGTACTTATTCAATGGTTGGAGAGGGAAACAGTACTAAGGAGCTATGCAACAGTATGAGACTGTCAGAGGCAAAGAAACTAGACTGTGAGCCAAATATGGAAGCCCAAGTGGTAAAAAAAAAATTGTGCCTTCTGCAAGATGCTTGATAGTTGACAGCTAGAGGTAGCTGGGGAACACAGATACTCCATTAATGATGGGAGAAGAACTTGTGCTGAATCAACTCAAGGCCCCATTTCTTGACCCAAGGAGCCAGGACAGCTATCGTGTCAAGGACTTATTATTCAAAATGGCTTTCCTAGCTACTGACTTTGCCACATGCAAGAGCAGGATCATATAAATAGGATGTGTTAGTCTACCCACAGGGGATTAGCTAGTTTCGCCATTAAACTGAGCAGATTTAGAGCAGCAGAATTTGGGAAATCTCCCCATGAGCAAAGACATAGCAAAGAATGTATTGTGCGTCCTTGAGGGGCAAAGATTCCTGTCCGCACCACTCAAATTGGGGCTGACAGAAGCAGCAGAAGCTGCAAGAACTAAGAACTAGAGACCAAATGTGTAACCGAGCTGACCTTGGGACTGCTAATTCATGTAGTCAGAGCTAGGAGCCTTTGCTCAAGTTTGCTGAAGGATGGAGTGGGGACAGGGGTAAGATGTATTAATTAGGACTAAGGACTAAGAAAGCTTTGGAATAGTGGCCTAAAAGTTGTGAGGCTGAAGACTGAGGGAGCTATGAGCACACTTTGAAAGCTGTCCTGATTGAGAGATTGCATCCTGTTGCCTGCCTGAATTGTAACATGTTAACCTTCCTAATAAATCCCGTAATTGTATGTTTCTATGAAGTAGTAATTGGTAATTGTTATTAAGTTTCTATGAAGTCCTAGCTATTGCAAGGATCTCTGACACAGTAGAACAGTAGGATTGCCGCTGGAATGATAGAAAGTGGTGCAGGGGGCATTTCTGACCTTCTGGGAATTAGTACATACTGTGGATTCTGTTGATGGGGGGCAGGTCCTCACTGTGGAGTTGGTAAGAGGTCAGACTTGGCTATCCTCAGGTTACCCTTGTTCATTTTACAGAGTACCGTGTATTACTCTCCTTTTCTGAAAATTATGAACTTCACTACCAAAACACTGGTCTTCTAAATGACATTCTAAGGAGTCTTAAAAATACTGATAATGTTAAAATAGGCTTCTGTTTGAGAAAAAAAAAGAAAAAGAAAAGAAAAAAATAAAATACTGATAATGTAGCTTCATTTCAAGTCATAACCCTGACAAGTTGGTTGTTTTCTCAGTCCTCAATCCTTCTAGGCCTTCTGAAGACAAGATGAAACATGAAATTGAAAATGTAAACTTGAATTTTTGACAATTTTAAAATTAAAGTTAAACATCAGAGTATAGTTAAACTGTTGTGTGCCATCAACTTGGAACTGACTCATAGCTGATCCTCCAATGAGTTTTCAGAGGCAGTTAACTACACAGGAGAAGACTGCTCATTCTTCTCCTGCAGAGAAGCTGGTGAATTTTGTGTGCCTTTGGGACTGCAATGCAGCTTTTTACTATTAGGCCATATTGTTACTGTGTACCATCAAATCAGAGCTGACCCTCCACTGAGTTTCCAGACACAGTTTGTTAGCATGGGAGAGACTGCCTACTCTTCTCCCATGGGGCAGCTGGTGGATGTGAACTGCAGACCTTCAGTACTGTAGCACAGTTTCTTACCACTAGGCTACCAGAGCTCCCTAGGCCATATAAGGGATGTAAAAAGTGCTTTATATTTTTTTGAAGAGAGGAATAGATTAGCACTTCAAATTAAAACATGATTGTTTCTTGTATGACTTCCCAAAGCTACTCAAGCAGTTACAAGACTTTGATTTTACTTCTGGATAAATAACCTAGTAAGATTAGGGAGAAAAGTACCACTTTCCATACCAGTTTCATTTTTCTTTTTCAGTTCTCACCAATAAGCTTTTCATTATGGACTACCTCAGTGCAGTTATCACCCTGATGATCCTAATACATCAGAAAACTTTTCATACTGATAAGACTAGTTAAGTAACAAGAATTATTTCTTTAGGCTAACTCTGACAGAAAAGCAACTACTAAGATGAAGAAGAAAAAGAAATACATGAATAATTTCAATAGTCAAATAAAATAATGTTGCCTACTAAAACAGACTGAGAAAAAGGAAACTAGTTATGTAGCTTCGAATGTTTGCCATTGTAGGAAAATCCCTGTGGTAGCATGTGGCAGCAAGACTAAAACTACACTCTATCTCACTGTGAATATTAAACAAAACCTGGTTATATAATGTGTTTAACACAAAAAACCAGGAATACAAGAAATACTGAATAAAACAGCAGCTGTGTTAGTAGGAGTGTGGGATAAAGGTATAAACTACCTTACCACGGTAGTTACTAACACTTCTATTAGTGGAAGAAAACAAACAAAAAAAAAAATAAAAACCCATTCAACGATAGTAGGTAAGCATAGAGCTAAACTCTCCCAAACAGAAGATTCTAGAATTCTATGCTAAAATACCCAATTCTAAATTTAGAATTTTATCCTCCCACAGTCACATTTATGTTGTCATAATTGAATCACTATTTGAGAACCAAACCTGTTCAGTCGTTTACAGTAAGGACTTCTTGGTCCAGCAGAAGACAATCGGTATCTTGGTCTTGCAGGAGAAGCAGGGCCACTATAAAATATGTTGGGCTTTCTCTGATGACGAGGTTCTAAAACGGAAAAATAAAATTTTACAAAATGGCTTCTTCACAATATACAAAAATATATGTGAAGGTATTTTTATTTTTCATCTGAATATCTACAAAGGAGCTAACCATGAAAATATTAGTATATGTCTATTACAGGATATTTAACTGTTCACCTTTTAAATCTGCAGGTTTGCTGCTGAAAATATTTCCAGCAAAGATACTGACTCATGCTGGCCATAAACCACCATTATGATAGTGCTGGTGCGTAACAGGTGATTATCACACCTGCATGGATCTGCTCATCAGGACAAAGGTACAGTAACATAACTCAGCAGTAACCCTTACAAATGAAATGCAAAGCCATGAAATAAAGGAATTAATGGAAGACACAGAAGATGTCAAAACAAATCAACTATCTGCTCTAGTCAATGCTACCATTTAACTTTCTTTGGAAGAAAAGACTTCTTGCAAATTTAGTACACGTTACACAAAGACAGTAGCCAAGAGCATTTAGCAATACTGTAACATGAAAATTACTGAGGGGAAAAAAGAACTAAGAAGAATGGATAAAGATAAAGCTAACAAAGCAATATATGCTCCCATTTAAAAGAATTATCTACAGCACTTACTTTCCAATGGAGCTTGGTAGTAAACAGTAGCTTTTCTCTGTCTAAGATAGTATCGTTTTTGATTATCTTCTCCATCTTCTTCCTCATCATCTTCATCCTCCTCATCATCTTCATCCTCCTCCTCATCTTCTTCATCTTCACCATCATCTTCATCCTCTTGGTCTTCACCTTCTTCAGATGATTCTACAATTAAGAAACATTTGCTTCCAAAAGGATACTCTCCAAAATGTTAACTAATGTTTACACAGAGAAAGTAGTTGGAGAATGTTGTTGATTGCCTTCGAATTGAGCACAGCTCATAGGGACCCTATGAACAAAAGGCCCGAAGCCTTTCTACAACTATTAACATTTATCAAAGTTCATAGAGTTTCCAGAGGCATGTTGTTTAGGAAGTAGATGCCACTCCTGCTTCCAAATCTGTAACTGTATGTTATTGTTGTTATGTGCCATTAACCGTGACATATAGCGACCCTATGTACTAATAGCTCTGAACTCTGCCTTGTCCTGAGCCAGTCTAATTCCAACACACCAACCCCTATTGCCCCAGTTATTTTATCAATCCAGCTTACCTGGGTTATGAGTTTAGACTTTAGACTATTTGGAAAGGGTGACTAATTCTTTTCAATAATAAATGGAAATTTTTAAAACTAAAACAAAATTTAAAAAGGCCAGCATAAAGACAAATTTGTTGTTGTGTGCCTATGAGTTTTAGAAAGAATCAACTCATAGCTGACCCTCCAGTGGGTGGTTTTTGGAGGTAGTAAATCACATGGGAAGAGAATGCTTATCCTTCCGCTGTGGATGTGAATCACAGGCCTTTGGGACTGCAGCAGGGCTTCTTACCCCTGGGCCACCAGAGCTGCCTTCTGGCAGAAAAGTATGGGGAAGCGGTTGGAAGAAGTATAGAAAAATGATTACAGGATATTTCCAATAAGTATCAAAGTTGTTGCTAATTTAACCAATACAGCTGATCATACTTACTCTTCCAGTACAGCATGGCGTCAAATTTTAGCACCTTCTCATTTCACTATTTTTCCTTTTAAACTTAAATCTGACCTTCCTTCCATCTTGCTAGCTGTCACTGAGCTATATGTACATAAGTCAACCAATTTAACAGTAAAATATCCTCACCAAAACCCTCAGAAAGAAAGGTACTTTAGAAAACCGAATTTCAATCAAGAAATGCTCTAGTAGTTTATGATAATAAATCCCCCAAGCTGAATAACAAAATGTAATTTTATTCACCTTTAAAGTGAAATAGGTAGGATATATACGATTTTGTCTGTAGATATACTTACTATATAATCAAATAAATTTCATCTATTTTATAATTATTGATTCCAGGTAACTTCTCAAAGAATAATTATTCTTTAAAGTTTTCCCTGTCCTCAACTTTTTCCTTTAATTATGACATACTCCAGCATCTGAGTAAAAAAAATTCTTTTTTACTAAATAAAAATCTCCACAGGATTTGAAAAATGGGCAACCTCTCCTTGTGATTTACATCTGAAAAATTTCTGGAGCTGGTTCCAATTTGACAGCATACAACAAATAAAAATGAATGAAATTCAAACCCAGGAAATGGCACAGAAACAACAAAAGACTAACCTGCACTGCCTTCTTGATTATCAGTTGTCTCTTCATCCGTTCTTTGGATACGTTTCCGCTTACTTCTCGTGTACATAGCAAGATTCCCCTACAAACGTTCAAGAAGTTAACATTTAGTACATTTGAGAAAATATTCACTAGTATCTTTTATCTTTCTTAAAATTAAGATACTAATAATTATACACTCCCAAAAGTTCAGTAGTAACTAGTTACCAACCAAGTTAATGTTGAGCAAATATGTGACTAAAAAAAAAGACAGGCATCTAGAAAACGATTAAACTGAAAATTATGAAATTATTTCCATAATGGAAGAATATATTTACTTTTTCAGTTTCATTAAACACTCCCAAATCTTCAAGTTCTCTCATTCGCTGTCTCCGCATCTTCTTCATGTCGTCCATTTTCTGAAGTACAGCTTCAGCAGTGCTTAAAAAATTGATTTAAAAAATCAAATATTAAATCTTTAAAATTTTTCTGCTCTCTAATTTTCGGTTGTTCAATATACCGCAAAGAAACAAAAGATGCAACACAAATTAGCATACATCCAGATTTACTGAAGCATCATTTACAATAGTGAAAACTTGGAAATAACCAGAGGGTCCGTCAACAAACAAATAACTCAAAAAACGGTATATTCACTCGATGGAGTATGATGCATCACTAACAAGATAAAGAATTTGTGAGATATTATGCAACTTGAATGAATCTGCAACAAACTATAATGAGTGACTTCAGTCAGTCACAAAAGGACAAGGTATAAAACTACTAATACAAAAAACTAAGGAAGGATTTATATACAGATTAAGATAATTTTGGAGGGACAAAAAAGATTAGAAAGAGGTGTGCAATTATTATTAAATAGATAAGATGAATGAAGAGAAAGGCAATATACAATTAGGGTTTGACTACATGTTATAAATTATTAGATTACTGATACTTTTCTGGTTCACTGCATGACGTGTGCCACTCTTAAACCTTGTTACGCCATGGGCACATTACCTGTCTGACACTTAAAAAACCCCCACTAGATTAATTAATTTTAATTAATGCTATAAAACAAAGTGTCTATGAATGGCAAACTTTCATGCAAATAAATTTTTAAATATTTAAAATTTATTTAAAAATGACTTAAAAAAAACCCATAAAAAAAATTTCAGGTCTTGAGGTTTCAAGAATCTTTAGAAGTTCTAATTTACATGTAAAAACTATTTTTAAATGTTTTACCAAAAACTTATACAAAGTTATTACATTTATACATAAAGAAATAGAAGTACTTTGTTTTTCATGTTGAGAAGTAACTTAATTAGTAGTTCAATTATATCTTAACCTCAAGAAAGCAAAAATCCTCACCAATGGACCAACAGAAAGCATCAAGAATGAAGCTGTGGATTTTATTTTACTTTGATGCACAATTAACACCCATAGTAGCATCAGTTAAGAAATCAAAAGACATGCCACATTGTGAAACTTGGTATCACATACTTTGGGCATTGTGTTGGGAGGGGTTAGTCCTGGGAAGATGACATCATGCTGGAAAGGTAGGTTAGTGAAAGAGGAAGACTCTCAACGAGATGCGCTGACTGACATAGTGACTAACAATAGGCTTGAACATGGGAGATATCATGAGGATGGCGCCAGACAGGGCTGGCATGAGCTATACTCAACTTGACAGCACCTGATGATGATTTTTCATTCTCCTTTATGCTTCATGACAACAGATATGCTATATGTTCAGTCTGGTCAAAATTCAAGATGCCTGTCCCTCTAAAATTGTTATCAAATAAATGACCTTGATTTAAGGAATTTTTACTTACTTCGTTATAAGTTTGTCAAATAGCACAGATTGGTTCACAGTACTGTAACGACTTCTAATCCTACAGCTGCGGCGAACTTCAACATCACCATTCTCTGCGCGTAAGTGTTCTGTAGTTTGAATGATGTTCCTAGTCCTCAGTGACCGAGTAACTGGGATCACTTTGTCTTAAAAAATGCATTTAAAAATAAAAAAGGAAAGATTTTAAATAATAGTATTTACGATGATTCTAAAACAAACAGTTGAGAACCCACTCAGGTAACAAAACCATAGTAATTTTAAACTTGTTTTAGTAACATTAATAAACAAAAACAAAATTTCAGCATACATCTGCTATATGACCCAACCATTAAACTTTCAAGAGAAAACAAAATACAGGTATTACAAATGTTTAAAGTAGTTTTACTTGTGATAGTTACAAAACGGAAGCAACTATTTATCAAAAAATGAATGGGTAAATAGTGGTTTGCCAATAGGATGGAATACTATTTAGCAACAGAAAGCAATGACATTGAAGAGCCTCTTATTATGCAGAAAGAAACCAGACAAAAAAGAAGGCATGCAGTTTTACTCCATTTATATATAACTCTAGAAAATGAAATCTCAAATGACAGAAAAAAGGACTGGTGGTCACTCGAGAAACTTTGTAGGAAGATGGCAAATGGGAAGGATTAAAAAAGGAGCCTGATGAATGAAATATCTCAGTCACAAAAGGACAAGTATTGCATAGTGCCACTGTTGTAAAACAGGACTGACATACGGGCTGGGGGGAGACTGAGAAAGATGAGATAAACTATGTATACTGCACTGAAACAGATGAGGGAGAGAACTGTCTAAAAGGGATATATGATTATGTATTATTGTCATGACAAGAGTCCAGAGTGAAGGCTGCATAGTGGAGTGGACTTGGGGGAAAGGATTGTATAACAATCAAAGAATTTTTCTTGTACTTTTCAAAGAGAAGAGCGAACTGAGGGGGAGGTTGGGCAGGGAGAAAAGTGCAGCAATGAATGAATGGAAATCCACAAAGTCTCTGTAAACTTTCTTTGAAATAATAAAAAAAAATTTTTAAAAAAAGGAGTCTGAGGAGTTCTTTAAGGGATAAGTATATATCTCATTATCTTATAGCAATGATGGTCTCATGGACATATCCTTCTGTGAAAACCTAATAAAGTATACACTTTAAATATGTAGTATATTGTCTGCATCTCAACAAACCTATAAAAAACATCAACTACATATATCTGGAAAAATGACAATGCCTTTAATGTTACTCACCTTCTTTGCACTCTCCTTTTTTCTTATTATTAGCCTGTTGTCTGGCCAACTGCCTGTAAGAAAGAAAAAAAAAATAGTTTAAATAACTGATATACAAAACAATGTTAAGTCAGCCTGAAGCTACCTGTAGATACCTAAAACACAATGCAGGGGCAGAGAATGAACCAAAAAAGAGAAAGAATATATGTTAAATATAAGTTGTGACTAAAGTTTGTGAAACCTGCGGTGACATTCAATGATACATGCATTAACACTTAAAGAGAATCCATCAAATCAAACAAACCTGAAATAAGAAATCCTGACTAATGATTACATTGAGCGACACAAAACAGTATACCTCATTAAACTATTTTTGAGGACTAAATTTCTGTACTTGGACAGGCCAGGCTGTATCTGTTAATCAGCCTATATATCAAGCTCTTTTGCAAATAAGGAGGTCTATAGTTGTGGAATTAAAATACTATATTTTGAAAAGAAAATCATCCTATGAAAAGGTGATTTTGTGTATTCTTGTTAACAGTGTAAACCAGCAGTAATCCCTTATCTGTCTCAGAACACAAATAAGAACCAAAACAAGCTTTGGAGATGCTCATCTATAGGTCTTGGTCTACTATATTATTCAAACCTGCAGCCACTTTTCACAGAGGAGCCCTCCTCATCAGGTGAGTCTGCACTTTGAATAAATGGGGCCCAATTTATAGACACAATGAATGAAAAGACTTCTTCTATTCCTTTTTGCTAGGTGGGAAAAGAAAATACTTTTTAGTAAATACTTAGGTTTATGAGTCATACTCAAACCTGCCACTGCACCATGAAAGCAATCAGAGGCTAATGTGCAGACATGAGATCACGCTCCTGTGAGACACTGTTTACAATAACAACTCGATATTTGATAAGCTGTGTCAATCTGAGAAGAGCAAAAACTCTTATCCTCTAGAAAATTCAAACCATTCATATACATCCAGAAGATCATGCAATCACAGGATCAAAAGTTAGTAAGAATCCCCAAATGAGGATCCTAGTACATATTCCACCCTCAAGGCAATTACTTTATGTATTATTGTATGCAGCTATGCTTATCATTCTAGCATCTACACTCTGAGCCCCAAAGAGGTTGAAAACAGAGAAAAAAAATTAACCAGAAATAGGAAATAAAGAGATTACTAAACCTAAGCAAAATGACAGCAATGCAAGGATCAGTCAAATAAAGAAACAGTAAAGCTACATAAAATAGAACTCAAAATTACCTCAGGTCACTTCCTATAAGCCACATACAAACGTATCCTGATATTACACCATTAAAATAACAGTACTTATATTCCTAGCAATATTTTTAATAAAAGGTGCTAATTTTTTATTTAAGATGATAGGAAATTTTCGCCACCAATGACAAATGGTCAAAATGAAAATGAAATCACAATAAAACACTTTATATATATTATGACAGTGCAAGGGAAAAAGACAATTTTGGACAAATGGCAGCAAGAATGTAGAGAAACTGGAGATTCCTACATTGTGGTGGGACTGCAAAATGGTGCAAACTGCTTTAGAAAAGAGTCTTGAAAGTTCCTTGAAAGGCAGCTCTGGTGGCCTAGTGGCAAGACGCTGCACTGCAAATTCAGAGGTAAGCGGTTCAAATCCACCAGATGCTCTGCTGGAGAAGGAGAGGGCAATCTCCTCCTGTACCAGTCAGATCTGATTTGACGGTACACGTAAAATAATACAATTAAAAAAAAATTTTTTTTTAAAAAAGTTCCTTGAAACAAACTCTGAAATTACCATTTGACCCATTAATTCCACTTTTATATCTCTCTAAGAAAAACGGGGCGGGGGTAAGACCACAAAAAAATATGTTCACCAGCATTCACACTATTATTATTCATAAATGACATAGTGGCTGGGAAATGAAAATAAATGTCCATTAAGGGATGAAAAAATAATAAATATATCCACTTGGTTTCATGCCATATTATTTAGTAATAAAAAGGAATGAAACCAAGTAGAGGCAATCCTTGGATTACAAATGAATTCTGTTCCTGAGTCTAAGATATTAGTAGCAGCCTAGTTATAAGAAGTGTTAAGTCAATTTGTCCCAAATGCTTGATTTGCTGTATAACACCATGATTTTAGACATCAACAGCCCCACATTTGTTCAATTCTCTAGCTCCTCTACATCCCTGCATTTGGTGTTTACTGGACGGTCACCCAGAGACCCAGACCCATCTGTAAGTACGCAGGCTTGTGACGCAGAGAATGGAGAGCGTTGTAGACTGTCAGTTAAAAGCAGGTGTCCCCCCCCAGAAAAGAACTAGCACTGAGGTCCCATGAGCTTATATAAGCCTCTGGTAGGGTGTGGCTTGTATCCCATCTTAATCCTCTCTCCTTAATAAATACTTTAGCACAAAATAGGTAATCATTGACTAAGACATTCTGAATGCTAAACCATAGACACCCAGATAAGATTTTAAGTCAGAACAGTTAGGTACAGTTTCATATCTAGCATCAATCAGTCAATGTTTGTCTAAGTACATAGTAAATAGTGTATCTTTCTATGTATACAAAGTATTAAGACTTTCAGGTATACACACTACCATAATAATACAGTAATGTTGATCTCATGTTGCAAATTAACATTTGTTCATTCTTATAAAACACTGTATGCACCTCAAATATTTAGGGTATGACCAAGCTGATTTCTTGGCGCTCTTGTGCAATATTCAGCCTCTTCTGACATCAATTGTCTTTTTCCTTGTAAAGACCTTTTGCATTCTTCATGGACAATATCCTTGATCTCTTTCCACAGCTTATTTGGTTTTCGTTCATTAGTGTTCAAGGCCTCAAAGCTGTTCCTGGGTTGGTTTTTAAATTCAGGGGGGGGACAGACTCAAGATGAAATTTTGATTCCAGTGGATATGATTTGACCTTCTTTAGCTTTAATTTGAACTTGCATGAGTATTTGATGGTCTGTTCTATAATCAGCTCTTGGCCTAGTTTTCATTGCTTATATTGAACTTCTCCAATGATTCCTTCCACAGATGAAATTAATCTGATTTCTGTGCATATCATCAGGTAAAATCCATGTGTATAGCCTGCGTTTACTTGTGTTTCTTATAAAAAGATATTTGCAATGAATAAATCACTGATTGTTCAGAATTCCATTATTCTATGCCCAACCTCATTTTTGTCACCAAGTCCATATGGTTTTTTTTAAAAAAGGAAAGCCTTCTTTCACCTTGTTGCTGTGTACCACAGAGTCGGAACCAATCCATAGCTGATGCTCTGTCGGGCTTTCAGAGGCAGTTAATCCCAAGGGAGGAGATTGCACATCCTTCTCCCGCAGAGCAGCTGGTGGATTTGAACCAACTTTCACATTCCAGTCACCAAGTATTATTAATGCATCTTGGTTATATGTTCGATTGATTTCTGACTGCAATAGCTGGTAGAAAGAATTTATATCCTCCTCCTTGGCTGTGGGTATTGGTGCATAAATTTGAATAATAGTGGTATTAACAGGTTCTCCCTGTATGCATATAGATATTATTCTGTCACTCACAATATTGTATTTCAGGATGAATCCAGAAATGGTCTTTTTAACTATGAAAGCGACCCTCTTTCTTTTTCATCATTTCAACTCTGGCGTATATGTCTGATTCAAAATGTCCAATGTCAATACATATCATTTCGCTAATACCTAATATGTCAGCATTTATGCATGCCATTCTTTCTTAACAATGTCCATTTTCCTACATTTATGTTTCTCACACGCTACACTCCAATTATTTATACTTACAACTGTTCCTCCTCCTTTATGTTTGCAAATTTGAGGGTTCAGCACGTCAACCACCATTATCTGTTACTCTACTCTAAGCGTGCTCTACTGTACACAGGGTTTTCGAAGGCCCAATTATTTTGGAAGTGGATGGCCAATCCTTCTTACTGTTGTTGTGGCTGACTGCCGTTGAGCACAACTCACAGCAACTCTATCAACAAAAGACCTAATGCCTTTCTAGAATTATCATCATTTCTCCAGGATCATAGTGTTTCCATAGGCATGTGGTTTAGAAGTGGATACTACTCCTGCTTCCAAACCTGCTCCACCAAACACTGTCCACATTGGGAAATCATTATGGCATCTGACACCCAACAGCACAAGGTTCAGCATCACAGCAAAGCCAGATCACCTCAGAACAGTAAATTGACAAAGAGTGATGTACAAAGTAGAACGTTCCTCCAAAATATAACACTAGTCTCACTTAGCAGTGCTTAAATGCTATCAAGTCTAATACATTTCATAGTAACCATATAAACAAACAAAAAAAAAAAACCTAAACCTTGTTCTATAATTAACATTATTTCTCTATCCTTCTTCCTGTTGTTGTTATGTGCCGTCAAAGACCCTATGTACAACAGCCCTAAACCCTGCTCTATCTCTTGCCAAACTTATTGTCTCTGATACACCTATTCCCATTACCCCAGTGACGGAATCAATGAATCTCATCGAGGGTCTTCTCCTGCACTGTCCCTCCACCCTCCCAAGCATTAAGTCCCTCTTCAAGGACTTATCCCGCCTAGCAACATGTCCAAAGTATGTTAGAGAGAGCTTCAGAATCCTTATCTCCAAGGAGCAGCTTGGCTTCACTCTTTCCAGGACAACTTGTTTTCCTAGCAGTCCATGGCATATTCAATACTATTCTCCAGCACCAAAGTTCAAAAGCATCAATTCTCCTTCTATCATCCCTAGTCATTGTCCAGCTCTCTAATGTATAGCAAGTAATGGCAAAGACCATGGCCTGTATCAGGTGCACCTTAGTCTCCAGACTGACATCGTTGCTCCTCAGTACCTTGGAGAAGTCTCTGACAGCAGACTTTCCCAGTGCAATTCGTCTTTTTTTTCCCTTCCTGTTGTTGTTATGTGCCGTCGAGTCACGGGCAACTCATAGCAACCCTATGTACAACAGCCCTAAACTCAGTCCTATCCTGTGCCAATCTCACTATCTCTGACACACCTGCTCCCCTTATTACCCCAGTGACAGAATCAATCCATCTCAATGGG